GACTTTAGTTTTTGCAACTTTACAGATCTTCTTTATGCACCAAGAGCTTGTAACACTTCAAAGAGAAAGGAAAAATGTAACCCCTTTAAAACTCAAGGGAGACAGTTTATTTATCAACCTGAAATCACCACTTTTAAGAATGCTTTATTTAAGCTTGAATGAGAAGCTGTCTTTTTAATGAACAATGCCATTCAGCACAGATTACTTCCCATTTTGTACAGCTAAAATCAGGTGCACTTATTCACTTCCCTCCTGCCACTGAATCAGAACATATACTTCCCATAAAGGAAATAAGGTACCATAGAAAAGTGGGCAGCTAAACCACCTATTATAGCAACAGCACTGATACACAACAATATACAAACTGATGACACTTTGCTCTCTCTTTCATACTTGCCTCAGCCGTTTTCTTATATTGAGCGGCCTTCTGCTTATGAAGAGCATCCATATGCTGTTCTACCTGAAAAAAGCATAGCTTTTCAGTTCATTTCTTGTATTCATCATTATGTACTGTAGAAAATGAAATTACTTTCTTTTTTTTTTTTTTACTTTTAATAAGTCATTTGTAGGTTGATGCGTGCTATTTGTTTTGAGAATTCCAACCAGCCATCACAGCAACACAGGCTCAACCAATGGTGTCAGTTTGGGGCGGGGCTATCTGTCTGTATGACCAATAGCAGACAGAGGGGGTTTTGTTCCAAAAACTTACTGAATGTATTGCTAATATTTAATTTTACTACAGCAGATGATTTACCAGTGCAGATATTTTGGATATACTCTTCCCTGTCAGTTATTTTTGATGTCACAGAATAGTTCAAAAAGTGAAGTGTTTGAGATGGTGCGTGATTTTGTAGTGCCATCAGACATTCAGTGTTGTCATTTCCTTGCAATTGGTCACATTTACACCTCAGATGATTGGGTACAAACACAACTGTGTCCAGAACTGAACACCCATGAGCAAAGATGGGAGATTTCAAATCACATACTTCCAAGACGTCCTGAATCAGCTGAGCAACTACCATTGAATTGAATGCTAACCAATAACCAGGTATGAAAAGATTGAAAAGTCTTTCCTTTTGGGGACATTGGCAACACAGAAAGACACGCTTCAATTTCAATCAGTAAATAACAAAGTATGAAATGCTGTTTGTATGTCTTACCTTCTTTCGGGCCTCTTTCTGTTTCTCTCTGAAGTCTTCTAATTTTTTTGCTTCCTCCCTCATGGTTTGGGCCAAATGCAGATGGGACAAACTCACACTTTCTGTTTCTAAACACACATTTTAACCATAAAATTGTAAACCACGATAAACTGCCATCATTAATCGTTTGCAGATGGTATTTACTTACGTAATTTGAAAACATCAAGCGATCGTTTCAGGGTGCTAAAAATAGAAAAACAAAAACGTTGATGAGTAACCGATGTCCATTTTGTGCAATAAAACCATTGTAAAATTGCTGACATCAGTCACTGGTATAGGACTCAGTTAAACGTTTTTTTTTTTTTTCCCTCACCCCATAGTAAGAGGAAAAGCACTAACCACAAACCAACTACAAACATGTGACCAACCCAGAGACTGTTTAGGTTTGTACTTTGAAATTATCTCATACAGCATATCAATACCGCATTGTTCAAATGTTATCTTTTTAAAGGGGATCAGTATCCAACCAGAACAACACAATAACATGTCATATTCACTAAAGAACCTTCTTGCTAAAGAAATCAAAGAATTTAACCTCTATAAAGAAGACCACTGCATTAAAAATGTAAGTAATGCTTGCCCAAGTTGTTGAGGGCAGTTATACAGCCTTGCTACACATTTGCTAATGTGTTTTTAGAACACAGTAATTGTGGGTACTTGGTTTATTGTTTACTGGCTCATCTCAAAACTGCCAGCCTACAAGTATCTGATATGGTTTAGGTTCCTCCTTTTATAGTCTGATTGCTTAAAATATTAATAGCACACCTCTCAACTAGAGACCACACGATTTGATGTCCTTAGCACAAATGCTCAGTTTAACACTTAGAGTTATAGGTTTACTGCTAATGAACCCAAAAAATAATAATAATGCACCTTTAAATTCCTTTCAAGAAATAGCAATTTGTAAAATATAACCATAATGTTAACTGTAATAACTGTAATAATACATCGGTACTTACTTCATTTCACTGTGTCCACACACTTTCTTGGACAAACCCAGCAGCTCCTTGGCATATTTTTCTTCTATCGCAGCTCTGAAAATAAGAGTTTTTATATTTTAGATCAGGGCTGTCCAAACTCAGTCCTGGAGGGCCGGTGTCCTGCAGAGTTTAGCTCCAACTTGCCTCAACACACCTGACTGGAAGTTTCTATGCCTAGTAAGAGCTTGATTAGCTGGTTCAGGTGTGTTTAATTAGGGTTGGAGCTAAACTCTGCAGGACACCGGCCCTCCAGGACTGAGTTTGGACAGCCCTGTTTTAGATCAATGTCTTGTACATAATGACATAATGAGTTAATCTGTCAATTTGCATGCCTGAAATGTATTCGTTATTAAATCAAATATTAAACTAATTGTGTAAGGCTTGAATATTGGGATTTTGTTTCACGCTTTCTATATTGAGGAAATATTTCCACACATTTTTGGTGTCTTCTCCATCCCAGCTTAATATGCAGAGGCACCATTCATAGTTTTTGTAACATTTTTCTATAACTCTACAACCCTAACAAGACACTTAATTGTTTGTTTGAGTATCCCTGCCAGTCTGGTAAGATTATAAGATTTTAAGAAATTAGATCATAAATCAACTGTAGTCAGGGCATTCATATTTGTTTAATTGTTTAAGTATTTTAGTAAAAAAAAAACATTATTAAAACATTTTTAATCTTGCATTAATGGGATAGTTCACCCAAAAATGAAAATTCTGTCATTATTTACTCACCCTAAAGTTGTTCCATTCCTGTATGAGTTTCTTTCTTCTGATGAACACAAAAGATGTTATTTAGAAGAATGTTGGAAATCAATCCGTTTCTGGTCCCCATTAACTTCTATAGTATTTTTTTTAACTGTTTGGCTACCAGCATTCTTCAAAATATCTTCCTTTATGTTCAACAGAAGAACGAAACTCATACAGGTTTGGACCAACTTGAGGGTGAGTAAATAAAGACAGAAGTTTAATTTTTGGATAAACTATCCCTTTAAGAAAGTAAAATGGCCCATTTTAATTTCATGTTGACTTTAACTTCCAGTATTTGTTGCTGTAACTCGTTGATTTGAAACAGTGGCACATGGGAAAACTTATAACCGTAAATCATTTTCACATCAATAACAGGAAATCTTGCAACAATGCTCGTCATGGGGCATTATTTCTCTTTTTTTTTTTTAAAGACTTCAGTTACTGTAACTTTCCTTCAGTTATATACGAATGCACTAAGGAGGTTTTACATTAATCTATAGCTGTAAAACCATCAAGAGCTTGAGGTGAAAGTGTCAAACTAGGTGGTGACTCTGACATCTCACCTGGCCTTCATGAAGTCCTCGATTTCTTTGCACGTCCTCTTGCCGTCATTCAAGTGCTGGATGATGCTGTCATATCCAGCTGTGCTGGTGACATCCGTGTTCTGATATCACAATTGAAGAATAAGACAGAAAAAGCAATACACAAAACACAGGAAAATGTTAAAATCACACAGGTTTTTCGTAATCTGAAAGCACAAGCCAGGAATCCACAAAGTGCCACATGCATCACCAATTCCTCATTGTAGCCTTCAGAAACATTGTGGTTTGGACTCTTGACTGTCATTACCCATGAGAGAATGCGTTACCCCCAACACTGAATATAATATAATATAATATAATACTTTTTGTGCAACTTGCTACTCATCCTTCAGTCTACTTGCATAACTGCAAGGTAATGACTTTGGTGACTAAACTAGTAGAGATATGCAAAGTTCTAGATGGCGCAGGCTGATAGCTTCTAACTCAATCTGATATAATCACATCATTATTCACATGGCGCAGACATCGCGGAGCCCAGAGGGTTGTGGCTAGAAGGGATACAGCAAAAACCGGAAGCTAACAATAAATTTAATTTTCTACCTATTAAATTGTATTTTATTAACGTCTACACCTACCCCAATCCTAAACCTACCCCCTACAATAATGCAAACATAGTAATTGTTGTACAGTGTGAGAAAAATTACGCTATATTGATGTGCGCA